TTTTTTTTTTTTTTTTTTTTTTTTTTTTTTTTTTTTTTTTTTTTTTTTTTTTTACATAATTGGAAGATTTCTTGGAAGGACATTACCTTTTGGAAGATTTAGACATTTATCTAAATGTTTTTTCTAACAACCACACTTTGGAAAAGCAGTAGGGGACACTGTTGTCCTCCCTATGCCATCACTTCAGATCCTAATGGGATCTCAACAGTAGAAAGGATTACTCCTCTTGCTTTGCTTCCTCCTGCTGCTTCTGCTTTCCTCTTAGTTTCCAACAGCAGCTCACTGGAATGGATTCAATCAGCTCCACACCAGCAGAGAGATAGTTTAATGTGCCAGGAAGTCCCTTGGCAGAAGAGAATTTCTCATTTTGGCTCCAGTATCCCAAGAATTGTCATCTTGATCTCCAGCTACTCAGCTAGCTATGAGCATGAAACATAAATAAAAGCAGTCCCAATTTCACAAGAGTTTGATGATAGCTCAAAAGAAGAAAGACAAATGGTTTTATTTTTATGTGAATTTATTTTAAAAGATGCCTTAAAAATGGGCTGGGCAAGAGCTATAAAAATATGTGAATTTAATGTGACTTGGTTTTTCCACTATGCTTTTTCTCTTTCTACAAATTCTTACCCAGATAGCCAAAAGAAAGTTTAGTTTATGTAGATATGCATTGGGATTTCTACTAACAGTTAAGCTTCATAAAGAAGCAAGTCATCAGCACTCTTCCTCAAAGGTGCCTTACATGTGCCTTAAAGATCCCAGTCATGACTGTTACTGGAGGTGAAAATGACCAAACTGTAGCCCAAGATAAGCATATGAAATTCTCAGTGCTTTGTATGCTATGCTTTATTTTGAACCAAACAACTGCACTGTTAAGATAAAGCCAGAAGGTATCACTGTAGTTAAAAACCCTCCAAATTCTATAAAACATAACGGAATAAAATTCTCCTTTGTGAGTGATGGTGAATTTCATACTTTCATAGTCCTAATGCTTTGAAAAAGAGCATTACAATACTTATAATGACATCAGGTAATGTTACTTTTAAACTGCTAGAGCAAACACTGGGTCAGTGAGACATTAAGGACTCTGGGTAACAGCAGGTCTTAGTGTGCTTGTGTGTCCATCTGGATTCCTTACCTTTTACTTGCCCCTGCACAAGCTACATGAGCTCCACAGGGATCTAGGATTTTCTCTAAGAGGAACTTTACACTCAAGTTCAAGCAGAAGATGGCAGACTCCTCCTTTCTCACCTTGATGGCCCGAAAAAAGTATTCCCTTACTCATTCCCTCCCTTGCAGGAAGCAGACACCTCCACAGTGAGCTTGCTGCAGCACTTCTCTGCAGAGTGAGAAGTGAGAACTGCCACCAAACAGGAGAAGGATCTGACATCAGCTCCTTTACAGCCCTGCTGCTGGAGAGGCCATGAAGATGCTCCAGAACAGCCTTAGAACTACTGAGCTGAACAGGATAGGCAGGGGACAGACATAGCAGGTCTATGGACAAAAAGCATCAGGCAGAATTCAAGCAGTCTCCAATATTGCCAATAGTACAGCAGATTTTATCAATAATTTTCCTATCAATTGGTTCCTCAAACATTACAAATGGCCAAATGAATTATGACATTGATGAACCAACTACCATTATCACAAGTACCATGCAAATCAGACAGCAATGTTGACCCTTATACCTTTGCTGAGAAGAAAAGCAGAGGGCCTTTCCTGTAGCTTGCATCATTTTTCCTGCTCTTGTTTTATCCTGAGAACCCTGTGATCGAAGAAATTTCCCCAATTCATTTTCTTCCTGAGACAGAACTAACAAAAAATAAATTAGTTGTCAAATATGTTATTTAATTGATTCCTAACAGCTTTAAAACTGGCCTAGCAGCAAACAGTTTAAGTCACTTTAAGTCCAAGTGGCAAAGCAAAAAGAAATAATTTCACAGAATTCTTGCATTTACTAAACAGAAGACCTAATTCATTTGAGACATTTGCTGATACACTTAACAAGAATCATAAAATTCCATTAGCACCAAAAGACAACAGGAAAAATGTGCTATTTTTTCTTAAAAATAAAAAGTTGGGTTGATTGCAGTTAACTTTCAGTGTTGGGTTTTTTGGGTTCTGTCTGGTTTGGTTAGGTTGGTTTTTAGTTCTTTTTTACTACTTGGATTGCCTCAGCTGATACTTTTATTGAAGCTAATTCCAAGTTGTACTAACCAAAACTCATTCACTTGCTTTTCTCTTGCTCACCATTTTTCATGCTTGACTACATAAAATTTCACATGACAATTCAAGTACTTAATTTTAAAGAACATTTACTTTCAAATTACTTGGCAAGATTACTTGACAACTTGAACATTCTATAATTCAAACACTGTATTTCAATTACCTGAAACACATGTACCTCAAAGTAACTGATCATTTTTTAAACAGGAAGATGAAGTGGTTTTACACTGAATTGCTGATTGCCTCTAAACTGGGACCATGACCTCAGAGAACAAAAACATTTCATGATAGCCACTTTAAAAGACAAGGAGATGAGGGCATCTCCTATAGGACCAATGTCAACTGACTATCAAGAGGGAGAATGGCCTAAAACAATGAAAGATCTCCTGAAGTCCTCTTCCCATTTGCCAAAATGGCAACAGTCAACTCCAATGCAGACTCAGCATTCTTTGGCAGAAGATGCACATCTGCATCTGATGCAAATCTTTCCATCAGATTTCACCTGCCAGTTCTTTAACTTGATACACTACTATTCTGTATTTCAATTTTACCTCCTGATTGTGAAACAACAACTCTGACTCTCTTTGGATAAAGAAAAATGAAAAGCTCAAGAAAATGTGTAAGATTCAAGAAAAAGACAGTAAATTGGAAGATGATTTCGTAGCTGGAGTCTCTCCTTCAGGTCAGAAATCAAACAATATGGACTGCAGAGAACTTTTAGAGGACATTTAATGCAACTTGCTGTTTGAAACATCCCAAATTAGGTCCCCCATCTCTCACTAATGACTGTCACTAATTATTGTATGGTTTTCACAATCAAATCAGCATTTTCAAATTCATCATAATAGCATAGATTACTTAATTATAAAACTAGTAATAAGCAAAAAATTCTTCATCAGCAATCCTGATTAAAAAAAAAGCAAAACAAAACACTAAAACTGTTTAGAAAGAAGTTATGATTCCTTGACAAGATACTTTTGAATTTAAACAAGTCAACCAAATCATGGGAAAAAAATTAAAAAAATCTTTCTCCAGTCATTACTGCTGTCACTGCATTATATCAATACATAAAACTTCAGAACTGGGAGATCTTCAAACAAATAACCAAATCTGCATTCAGCTGTCTGCAAGGAACATTATCTTTACTTTTGAATAGGATGAAACTAGTAGTTCCCCACTTTTATTTTTACCTTTTCACTTGTTCAATGACTCCATAATGCAGACCTTCTTATCATTTTAACTAGTGTGTTTGATCATACTTACAACAAATCCTTTTTTGATACAGTTCAATTGCTTTCAGCAACTCCATACATGTTCTCTGAATAGAATGGAACAGCTGATATTGAAACAAAACACACAAAAATTTGTCAAATGTATGCAAGAAACACTGAGGAATAAAATACAAGAGAGAACTCAATTTTTTGTAGAAATTATTAGGGACCATTCTTTTCTTCTTGAACAGTGAGCAATATTTCTGGTATTGTCCTTATCAATTGTGCTCTTCTTTTAAGTTTTTTACTGAAACTAAAGACTGACCAATCATAACTTTACAGAAGGAAAATAAAGAAAAAAATAGCTTTGGAAACAGATCTACAACAAACAGTTGGTAGTTAACCAAATGACTTGTGTTGGCTGTTTTTTTTTTTTTTAGGTAGTATCTTTGTATAGATATGAAGATGTACAAATCTGTTTCTAGAAACCTCCAGCCTACAACTTAAATCTAACTCTACCATATCACACATTACACAGCTAGAAGTAAAATAGACCACTGGCACACAGTTAGTTCCTTCTTTTAAGGCTGCTTGACTACAAATTTACACAGGTCTTGTCCTTTAAAATGGGATTATGACTTGAAGGTGAGAATTTGTCCAAAACATTCCCATGCTAACAAAGGAGAAAATCTGTCCCTAAAACATGAAAATAAATCTGAGATATGTTAAGTTCCAAATAAATTTAGAGGGACATAGGGTTTTGTGTTTAAAAAATCCCCTATATTCCCTGAATTTACCTACGTAAGTCTTCTGATTTGTCAGAATCTGGAAGAGATATTACATGAAAATTATAAAAATTTTATTATATCCTATGTGCACACGTATTGAAGGTTTGGTAGAAATGAAAATCCTTTAAAAACCAACAAACCGAGAACAGACATTATGTGTAAAAATTACAAACCTCTAGTTTTGCATCTAGATCTGCATCTGAAGCCACAACATGTTCATCTTCCTTTTTTCCCGTAACTTTTATAAGGGTTTGTTTTGTTTTCCAGTACTTCTGTTGCATTTTATTGACCACAGATTTTTCTTGGCTTTGAGCATATTGATCATAAAATTCTCTTGGATAGTTGCTAGAATATTAACAAACAAATTTAAAACTTCAATTGGAAGCTTTAAAAATAAGTCTAACACATTCAATTAATACATTTCCATTAAAAATATTGCATTTGCATGCTAACACGTATATTCTAACATGCAGCTCCTCATTATGCATTAATAACAAAGCAACTAAATTACTGTATTTCCCATCCTTCTCTGAAAAATAATACACCGATTTCAACTTGAATATCTTAACCATGCAGTACTGCCTAATAAACAGCTTCAAAGAATTCTTCCCGATGCATTAGGAAATTATTTATAGTCCATGGAATTAACTTTTTATTTTGTATAATTAATGGGAGAGTTTCAAGTGAACTAGTAGAGTTGCTTAAGCAGGTAACAATTTTCATGCCATTTCAGCATTGTTGGGATTTGACACAGCTCATTTTAAGAATGGGATTAGACTACTTCTAGCCCTCCTTTTTTTAATTGAATAAAAAAAACCAATTAGAAGAACGCTCCTCTCTTTTGAGCATGTTATGTGAAAGACTGATATCTCACATGTCCCTTTATACAAATGACTACATGACAACTGTGGGTGTTTAACAGGTAACCTTGTCTTTCAAGGATTAGTTTTCACTGAGATAATTCTGCATTCCTGTAGCAGACCTAATAAAAAGTGCAATATATAAATTCCATATTCCACACTATTTAGGCCATACCCAGACAGCTTAATAAAAAATACAGTTTTACCATGAAAATCTCGGTGTCTTTCAGGAAGTGTAATTCCATTTTTAATTTGTGCAAAAGTACATGCATTTTCCCCTCTGTTCATATATAAAAAGCTGTGGTACTCTTTCAGCTTTTTAGAAGTACATGGTTGCTAAACACTGCTATATTGGATACTTATCAAAACTTAAATAGGTTGATTTTATTTTGAGAAGACACACCTGGAGTGACAAACTGGGGTTCATTAGTGAGATATTGACCTCTAGTTCTGTTCACAACACACAGATTGTTCAGATGCTACCCCAAAAGTTCTTCAGACCCAACACACACATCAAGTCATGTATTGAGACATGTGTCCTTGCCCATGGCGGGGGGGTTAGAACCAGATCAGCTGTAAAGTTCCTTCCAATCCAGGTCATTCAATCATCTTATGACCCTCTGATTATATCTACTTATATCTATATATTTGCTGTGAAGCAATACAGCCATTCTGAAAAAACCAGCTGTTGGTACATATTCCCAAAAGGGATGACATCTACTCTATGCAATCACTAGTGACACAGTTTAACATGAAAAGGAAATTTTTTCACAGGTTATATTACTTGCTCTAGTTACTTTTAATCAGTAAGTTAGATGACAATGCCTTAATTACCAAAGAGATGGTAAGAAATTAAACTGGAAGTGAGCAGAGACATAATTTAGAAAAGCACTTATATAGAACACTTCATGGCTTCTTCACCAAACTTGAAATGCAAAGATATTTATCCATTTAATTCTACATAAATATTAGTTCCAATAATTTAATTTATTAATCAAAATAAAGGTCTTTGGTGCTACAGAAAAAAAAGTACAAAATATACCACACTTTATTTGGACTTCTGTATAAAAAAAGCCACTATACATACTGACAACAGACAGCCTATCAAGTTGGGTGAAGACCTGATACATGCTGCACCTTTAAAATACAAAATTTAAAGCCCTTAATGAATAAAAAAATCCTCCTGTATTATGAGTTTAATAAAAATAGCTTTACTTTAATCATAATTAAAAAAAACCGTCAAAGTTCTCACAAGATATTATAAAGGCCTTAGCTGCCTGGCTAATTGTGTGCTTTGACTTCTGCTACAGCAGTGAAAAAAACTGAGATCTCATTTCAGTAGTGAAACCACCATAACTCATCTGATTTTAACCAGCCCTGAGAGCTACCTCAGCTGAGGTCACCAGAAATTGTGGGGGGCATAGTGCAAGGACTAAAAATTAGCTACTAATATAAGGTCACAAAAAGATTAGAAAAAGTGCTGGGAATAATACAGATTCCTGAATTATGAGACTGATAAACAAACTGAACAAATCAACACACCAAACACTATTAGCTCTTTAGAATAAAAAACAATTATCAAGATGCTTACTATTTGTGACCTTCCATGATTCTTGTTTTCTTCAGACACCTAAATAAGAAATTATCAGTTAATGCAAGTATCTGCAACATCTTGTTTACCATATTACAAAAGAAAACTCTTCAATCTGTGAGCCAAATGTCTTCCTTGGGTACCACACAATTCTCTTGAAAACCCATTACAAATGGATTTAAGTGCTGCCATCAATTATGCCAATCCTTCTATGTTAGCAAGTTTTTCAAGCAAAAGCAAATTTACCAGGCATAAATTCAGTGACTTTTGATGAGGCATGCCAAAATTGTCCATGTTAGGCATTGCCCTCAGTCAAGATTTTTCCTACAAGTTTTAGCAGTAACAAAATTCAATTAATTTTTATCTTTTTTTTCTGCCTATATCCCACTGACCTAGTTTTTAAAACACTAGTTACATCATGTCTTGAGTCAGAGATGTGAAATTTAATAGCCAGATGGTTTTTCTATGAGGGACACTGCAGATGGCATGCACATAATTTCCCACCACTACCTGAGCACGCTCCTTCCAGGCCAAATTTACCAGCCAAGCCAGATACTCATGAACAACAAGCACTCGGCTTCTCCTCTGCTGCTTTCAGAGAGGACTGGCACATGGTTAACATGGGAATGGAGGCACTGCAGCAGGGTCTGGATGAACCAAAATGCAGCTAGTGAGATGGGTGGTGCTGATGGGGAATGGAGTTCAGCAAGTAGAGGCACAGAATAAATACACCAACAGCTCCAATAAGGTATGAAGCTGACTGACTGAGAAAACAGTAAAGAAAAAAGCAGCTATGGAGGTAACAGTGCTGAAACTGAACTTTGGCACTAACCCAAGTAAGAAAGAAAAGGGGCTACAAAGGGAAGTCATGATGTTGGAAATGTACCTACCACAGTACTGCATACAGACAGTGTAGTTAGCACTGGAGAGGCAAAGGGACTGGAACAGATTGCAGGAACCCAAACAAGGCAATGCAAACAACCTGGATGCTTCCTGCAAGCATGAAGCACATGCACTTCCATTTGGAGCTGAATGGAGCCAAATCTCAGATTCCTGAGTCTAACGTCTCTGCTGGCAGTACCTGTGATACTTGCTGGCAAAGTTCCAAGAGATACTGCAAGATTATATCAGAGCAGGAATTTTGCCTGAATTGGAATTTTAGTGAAATGCTCTTAAGCACTGCAGGAGAGACCACAAGAAAATTAGTAACTCTGTCTTCAGACCAGAGTTTAAATGTAAGGTAAAAAAGGAGGAAGAAAGAATCTTTTCAGATTGTTGTTTGTATTACAGAATCATTGAGTCAGACAAGATACAGAATGGACTGCTTTGCTGTTCCTTCTAGAGGCATTGCCACAGACACTACTAACTCATTTTCTAATACCTTTATGTTCTTGACTTCGCTGTTTTCACACTGGTCCTCAAATCAACTGTGGGGGTGTGTGAGTGAGATAAGACCACAGGATTTAGCTTGTATACACATCCATGGCGCAGTTATTCAGCAGCACACTTGGTTTGACAGGAAGCAAAGAACAGCCTATCTAGGTGGAGTAACATGTATATTACTTGGAACAAAGTATAAGCAATGACTATGGGAAAAGGTGTAAGGCACTGACCTTATTCACTGTACACATCCACCTGCTTCTCCTGGAAACCTAGGTCCCTACGAAAAATAAACAGGGTCATGGTGAAACAGTTGTCATTTGCAATTACAGCCCATGCTCTTTCTTCCTTAACATCTGACCTAACCTTTTGATTCTGAAATCTTCTTAGTTATACTCTTTCAGGTCCTACATAGCACTCTTATGCCCTGAAGATATTCTTTGTGGGAATTTTTACATTCAAAGTGGACAATATTTTCATGGTATGAAAATGAAGTAGTGTTCTCTGTTCTGCTGTGTGACAGGATGGCATTTGAGGTGTTTGAGGCTACAGGACCTGCTGGCATGGTTAATCAGGGTGTAAGGAAACATAAGTGGAGCCTTACCTATACTGCCTGCTGGAAATGGCTCCTGGCATGTGATATCACCCAAAATGGGCCAGGAGGGAAAAAGGTCCCAGAGAATTCTAGACAGTGTAGATAAAAAGCATGCCAGGGAGATTGCTGTAATTAAGTAGTAGCAACAAGCAGCAGCCCAGGACACAAACTCAATCGCTCTGCCCGTTTTATTTCCTGTATGGAGCTGACTTTTGGTCCTAAATGAGAGTTCAGTTTGCAAAGACAGCTTAGTAAGTACTAGCATTGAAAAACCAGAAGTGTAGTTGCTAAAAAAAAAAAGTGCAGTAAATTGTCTCTCTTGCAGTAATTTAACAGGGGCCTAATTTATTAATATAATCTCTTACTTCATGTGTTGTTACTGTCTGTTCCAGATCCAGGAACCAAAAAGGGTTAAGATACTGGTTCAGCTCTATCAAAGGACACTTAAAAGCATAGAGCTTAGCTGAAAGCAGTGAGATTTTTTAAAAGAAATACCAAAATCTAAGTCTAGTCTCAAAAACTGAGATAATAATAAGAGGGGACTGGAAACAGCGCAGGGAAGTATCCAAGATTAAAAGGAACATTTAACAGCCATGTAAAGAATCCCTACAGTCACAAAATGTTGGCCCTGAGGCTGCAGAGAAATACCAAGAATGAACACATAACTTCTTATTACTTCTAAGTTTTCAACTTTTATGCTTTTGAAGAACAACACAAATGTCCCAAACAGAAGTAACAAGCCAGCTGATCTTTACCAAAATTGACTACAATACAAGCACGTGACACTAACTTGAATCTACCAGTACTTGCTCCAAAAATTGTAGTCAAATTTAAAATTAACCCATGTTATCATACAGTTTTAGGTATAAAAATAAGCTTTACTTGCCACAAGGAGTTGATGTAGAGGACTTTTTTTTTTGCTTGTTTTTCTTCTCAGTGTATTAAAACAAACAAACAAAAAAGATAAGTTTCAATCAATAGTATTATGCTAACAATGATTAACTAAAGAAAATAAAATCACCACCCTGTAAAAAAGCATTTGTATTGGGAAGTTTCCATGATATTTGACAATAAAGAGTTATTGTTATTGCCACAACAGACTTTATCTTGACAAACAAAAGGGAGGGATACTCTAGATGAGAGGGTGGTTTTCAGAAGCAAACACACCTGCTTTATTCACACCAGAGAAAGCAGTGCCACATTACAGATGTACACAAACCCACACATAATACTGCACAGTGATGGATCTGAGGCTTCCTGAAGAAGTCCACTTATGGCTCCAGTAATCTTGCAAGTGCTTCTCTGTTTTGAAAGAGAGTGATGCTACCCTCAGTTTCAGCATTAAACCGGAGCAGGCTCCATTCATAACAAGTTTGCTTGGAACACAAGGGACCACAGAGCTGAAAGACTCACTCCCATACAGAACCAGGTGGAGTCACAAGCCCTGCCAAAACCTTGAAAATCCTTAGCAGGTGTTTCTGAGGCACCAAGAAGCCTCAGCATCACTTTCCACAAGCCATCCTTTTTGCAGACTGATGCCAGAGAAGACAGGCACAGCCCGGACACTGAAATACATGAGAATTGTTTCTAGACTCCACCTGGCTTCAGGTGTAATACAGCCAAATTCAGGCAGTGCTCTGCCACAGACAAGAAATGCTGAAACCAAGATGGTCCTGCAAACAGCCAACTATGGCAGAGTTTCTCTGGGTGGTAGACTACTTACCCATAAATTATTTCCACAGGAAGCCATAACAACTGGAACGCACACAGAACTTCATGCTATTTCTGCCATATTCATCATCCTACTAAGAAATTTATTAGCTGTGACACTGAAATGAAACTTGATGGAGGACACTCGTCATTAAAAAGTGGCATTTCTATTCCTATGGAGAATCCTCTGATTCTCTATATTCTCCAAGACTACTTGAATAAACATGTACATTTTTTCTGTGCAAATAGAAAATGCTTTTACGGTATTTTGTGGGATTTGAACTGCAGTATACATTAGGATTACCTTCCAGCTTGTGCTCTGTACCACATTTATACAAGTTTGCTTCTCTTTTTTAGCTTTAGTACATTTTGTTTCAGCATAAGTGGTCTGGTTTCCCAAGAGCTAAACACCTTCATGAATAATCTTTAGATTCTGCTTGTATAAGAACAAGATGGTATGAGTGCCTTCTCTCCAACAGCTACATTGGTAACAAACAAGTCTGTATATCAATGTCACTTACATTACTTCTCTTTTTCAGTGAGTCTAAACATAAGAAGTGTCATGTGCCAAAGGCACGTAAAGGTCAGACCTTAATACTCTCCTAGGTTATGAGGAAATCAGTTTAAAACCCAACCCAACAAACAAAAGCTTTACTCCTAATGCAAGTATCTCTTCTTGTCTGAGCATTGTTACATAGCTCTTCGTGTGCTCTTAGCTCAGGCAACAGACCACCTAGAAAAACATCAGCATCCAGAGGCATCAGACAGGAATCTTTTCAACTCTGAAGTCTGTACATAAAACAAACTGTTGATCTAATCACAGTTTCTCAGAACAAAGAGATGATATGAAATCTTTACGAAAGCCTTATAAATGCTGATGTACAGAGCAAATCTAACATTCAAAGATGACCAAGCATTTATGTACAAAAGCAGTAGACTGAACAACACAATCTTTTGAGATACATCCAGAAACAAGGAAAGGGAACTAAGCAAACAGCATAGCAAAATTCAGCAAACCTTACGTGAAGGCAGTATGTTCATCAAAACACACAGAAGAGTCTGCACTTTCACTGACAGAGCTGTCCTCCAAGTCTACTGTTTTTTCAAATCAGATAATATGTTCTGTGGCTTCTCAAATCCCAATAGATTGTCCACATCCTAAAATCCTTGCAAATTACAACTTTCAAGTATGGCAGAATCATAAATTGCAGCTGACTTACCTACATCAACAGTTTTATTAAAATGAATAATCTTCTAAGAAACCTTTTGTAATAGTAATAGTATAGTGGTGCTAAGTAACAAAAAAAAAAAAAAAAGGAATCCTATATATAAAAGTTAAGACTGATAGTTTCATTTATGTCAAATACTTCAAAGGGAAGAAAATGTGCCTAGGTGAGGGAATCAATGCCATCTGTGCCTCCAACAGCTCTTGGCTGACAACCTATCTCTTCCACTCTGCTCCCTGGAAGCTGTGATCAAACTGAACCAAGTAAATGGGTCTGCAAAATAAGATGCAGTCTCACTGCAAGATGAAGACTAGAAAGGGTACAGTTTTATCTTCTTTGGTGTGCCTAAAAACACACAGACCAGGAGCTTCAAATGGTGTTTGATTTTGCCTTTCCCAAGCAAAAGAGAATATAGATCTGAATTATCCATGTTGTCAATGCAGGAAAAGAGTGAAAGCTGAAGTCTGGGTCTTTCAGCATAAAGATTACACACAGACTTAGAAATATTCCTACTTTTAAATACAAGAATAGCTACCACTCTAATTCAGCTAAAATTAATCTAGAGTTCAAGCCATATCTATGACAAACGACAAGATTTAATTTTTCCTCTAAAGCTCTTAATTCTTAATATTGATGTGCTAATCCTGCAGAATCATCCATGCTTAGCTTTAAATCCAGGAAATCTTTTTGTTGTGTTAGACTACTCACTAATGCACTTGTTTACTAATTGAAAAAGTTTGTCAATTGGTCTGTAAGTGCTGAATTAGCACTTCACCCATTACAACTTTTTGTCTAATCCTTTGTCTCAGACTGATCCACAGCTTTGCTACTTATCCTGGAAAGTATCTATCTTGGAGATTATCCATGAGTTCTCAGAAGAAGAAATACAAGATTGCAGTATCAACAGAATTACTCTTTCAGTCTATTTCAGGGATTGACACCTAGAAAGAATTTCATACATCCTTAAAAGAAGCACAGGATAAATGGCATCTGTTACACAGCGAAGGCTCCTGCTATATTCATACACCTGGGAGGTGCTGAGAGGGGAAAAAATCATCCTGTTTGACTGCAATTATCTAACTTTAGTGCCTAAATTACCATAAAAGCCTCTCAAGACTAAGTCCCTGTACAGATAGTGAATACAACCTCCAAAGAGCAACACTGAGCACCTCAGCCAGAGTCTCACCACTGTGCTCTGTGCACACAGAAATTACACTTTTTGCATTAGGCACCTGAACTACAAAGTTAAATCCTGCTGGGAGACCACTGCTCTATTCCCCATCTTTTAGAGCTAGGATTTCATGGTGGTCTGTTGAATCATTGGAAAAAAAAAAAAAAAAAAAAAAAAAAATCAGCAGCATACTGAGTAACACCATCCTTGGGACATGGCCACATCCCATGAAGTCCCCTGGAATCAATTTTCTCTTTCACTACAAACACCTCTGGAATATACACCATTCTGTTTCTGTCATTTCCTTCTCCTCTCTACCAAGGTCTTTGAGATATCCCAGAAAATTACTCATTTATTCAATTTCATTTATTCATTTGTCTTGATCCTGCAAAGAATTAAAAAACCCAAAGAATTAACCTACTCTACCATGCCCCCTACCCCTGCCAAATTTGACATGCAGAAAAATCCCAAGCATATACTTAAAACAACAGAAGTATCAGAGAAATTGGAGTCTGTTCTCCAAGGAGGTAGTTTGACCCAATACAACACACATTTATTTTTCAAGTTAGTAAACTGTGTGGAGAACAAACCACACTAATACCAGCAGGTATCCTAAATGACTAAGACTGCGTGATGAGAGACTTACACTGTAAAAAACCATATACAAGGCATGAAGAAATCTGAATGTTTTGGGTCTTCTTTCTGTCATTTTGTAGCACTACCGAGGCACCTGTCTGCACACAGTACATCCAACCAAATGAGCAGCAGTACTATTGACACCTGTCTTTCACTCAGTTTTACACTGACTCTATTTAATACTCTCTGTAGGGCATGTATGGGTCACATCAATTGCAGAGAGTACTGTAAGAGTTACTTTCTTCCAAAACAAAATTGTCATACTTCTAATTTCAGAATACACAATTAATGTGGAAAATTGTTCTACTTAAGTTTCTGGTGTAGTCTAAAAAAACGGTGATATCTGGGGCCATGTTTCTTATGATAACATTTAGTCTTTATTTTGCTATTCCCAACTCTGATGTGTACAAGTGGCAGATAAATTTACACTTAGTTTATTGCTCCCTTACACCAAGAACTAAAGAGTATCCATCCATCCATCCCTCTGGCTTTCAGTACTTGAAAGATTACAAGTAATTTTTTTAGCCAACCTGAAAAAACAGAAATTTAGCACTGTCAACATGTTTTTTAAAACTTATTTTTGCCCTCACAAAGTGCAAGGACTCAACAGTAGCATTCCTCTCTAAAAAATAATTTTATGTCTATCTGGTACTATATATCTGTCATATTGTTCCAAAAACTATCAGGTCAAACTTACAGGCATAAGTGATCTCCTTGGAACTGGGTTGGGGGTTTCTTTTGGTTGTTTTTTAAACAGTTGACAACAAAAAAATTCCTAAACTCAGTGGATTCTCAAAAACATCAATAAGCATGGCACATGAAGTCACAACATGTACATGTAGTCTCAGAACAAAATATTTCAAATAAATGCTGGTAGACTGCAAGATTGACAGGCAAACAACAGACTTTCTTGATAAGCTCATTTGCACACAACTTTATCATTTGCACATATATCATTTAATCACACAAAAATTTAATTTTAAATTTCTTCTTTAGATTATACTGATTTTTCATCTGCTTATTGTGGAATAATGAAGGGACAGTACACAGTATCAGTTCCCCCTCAGATAACATCTTGTACTTCACTAGTAAAGTGTTCCACTTTATTTGTGGAGAACAGTGAG